AATTGCATTAAATCCTACCAGTAGGATGAAGCATCCACCCTGTACCATCGGGACAAAGTCTCAGAGCAGATACTCAATGGACAACCAATTCACCAAAAATTTTTCTTCTGAGGCTTCCTCCAACTTAGTTATCAACATGTTTTCAGTTACTCTCTAAAGACACCAGAATTGGAGTTGAGGAGATATTAAGTGAAATAATATAGAAAATCTAGGACAGTGATTGGCACTTAGGAAGAGGATACTTGCCATGTAACATTAAAGTCCCCAGCTACAATGAACACAAAGTACGTCCCTTTACTGCCATGGAGAAGCACATCAGCATCGCAGGAGAGAAATTGGGCAAAGATAGGTGACCTTCTCTGGAGAGCAATAATCCTCTTGGGAAGAAATACTCCAAAACTCAGAGACTTGTTTTGTTTTTGTTGGGCAATAAGAGTATTTTGGAGGTAAAATTATATAAATCTAAACAACTGAGTAAAGGCAAACTATAAAGGAAAGTGGTAGAAATAAAGGTTGGGAGATGTGGAAGAATGAAAACAAATTAATGCTAATGCACCAACATTAATTTTGTTAGGGTAAAACACAAAATTGGGAAAAGAGAAAGGCATCCTAGAAGTATTCTAACAGACTCGCTTTAATGATGATGGAACTGAGTCCACTGAAGTTTAAGAAATTTGCCTTAATTCACACAGGTGATCTCTGGAAGTTCTGGGCTACTATGTGAGGTTTCCTGATACCAAGGGCATTTCTCATGACACCACGTTGCACCAACGTTCAAGCCCATCATAGTTTGTGAACCTTTCTTATTTGTATGCAATGGCTGCTGGCATCTGGGGCTGCTGTCGAAGTTCTCAAAGGACTCCTGCTTTCTATAACTCCTAGTGGTTTCAAATTCAAGTGATGATAGAGATGACGCCAATGCAGTGATTTAATTCACCCTCCCAGGTTTGTACAGTAACTTAATCAACCAACAAGAAAACTTAGGCTCTCTTTATATTTTTAAGAAAACCATCACAAATATATTATTTCAAAAGAATGGCAATGTCTTCATTTGATCACATTAAAGCTCACATTAATAGAAATGAATATATAGATAGAAAATTTAGTTTTTTCTTGAATTTCAGTTTGTATAAAGTCACCTTTTCTGTTTCATTTTTCTTCATTACGACCTCCCTTCCAAACTCTCCTTTGTTTTTCCATTTGTCTGGAGAGACTCCACTATTTGTTTATATGTTCAATTAAAATATAAGTTTCCTGGAGGTGAGAATCATCTCTTATCTATCTTTTTATTCATTTCACGTCAACAGGTATAGATAGCCCTTCACATGTTGAAAGTATGAAGTAATATTTTTGAATACAGGTTTGACACTTTCACATTTATCTATAAATGGAATTTTTAAAGAACTCCCAGTTGAGAATAAGAATACTATAAAAAGTTTGATCTAAAAAGGATTGTTGGAAATAACCCAACACAACTAGTTTGCTTTACAGATGATGAAACTGAAGTCAAGTGGCTCAGAGTCAGTCACTCAACTAGTTAAGAGCCTGAATGAGGATGGCCACCCCATCCCCTGTCTCTTTCGGATGTTTTTTTGTTTTTGTTTTTGTTTTTTAATGTGCTTCTTGCAGTCACTTTCTAAATACAAATTAACTCACCTAGAAACGTGATTCTTAAGAAACTATAAATACCGTGATTATGCACTAGAATTTTGACACGTTTTGCTCTGTGTATTCAAATCTCTAACAATGCCTGGTATACAGTAGATATTCAGTTAGTCGGTTTGGGTTCTCATCCCTTTTTCCCTTCTCTGCCCTAAATTTCCATATTAACCACTTTAAAGACAGCTAATGCACCAAGTAGGAATCATCTAGAGAGTCAAAATTAGCCTGTTGACAAAGCCATCTAGGATGCTGATGCTTGTAGAAGCCAATGGTACTGACCCCAAGGCTGTTCCCATGGGAATGATGGAAGTGCTCTCCAAGGTGCGTTCTTAGGTGAAATAGAGATACTACCATAGGGAGGTGCTGATAGAGAGGGTCTCATGGCATTTCCGGAAGCCAAACCCCTTTTTCCTCAGCTCAATGTGCCTCTCAGAAGAGAGATTTTACTTGCCTGTAGACTTCTTTGGGAAACATGAACGGAATCCATGGGATGGTGGATTCTTTGGGTAAGAATTTCTGTACATTTAGGGTCTCCCAATACATCATCCTCTAGAAGTCATTGTGAGTTGAATTACATAGAATACCATTAGCTTTTGTATTTAGATGTTCTGGTCTATTCTGATTCTTAATTTTGACAGTTCCCTTTAGTATAGTGAAGCTCTTTTAGTCTTGCTTGGGATTAATTTATCACCTAAAAAACTTCTTCCAACACCATGTTCTGTGAGTTGACGAGCAGATTCCCCTGTGATTTGAGCTTGTCTAAACACAAATTGACTCTGGATGACTGATTTCCAGGTGTTACATTCCCACCTTGGGAAAACTTGGTCATCATACTTTTGCTTCTGTTTGGAGTAAGAAGCCTTTGGTTGGAAATAATGCAAGTCAATATTGGGAATGCCCTCCTTTATACACTTGATGTGTTGATTTCTAGATTATATTTTAGGCTGGACTAACATTTTTCAAAGACAGTCGAATATGCTATATTTGAAAATCATTTCAATAATTTACAGCATATGAAGGGTCGTAAATTCTAAGTGACATTTTAACTAGGTACTTATTGAGAGCTGACAATGGGTAGCTTTGTGCTGAACACTGTGTAAGGCATTAAAAGATGTACTGGTACACTTATGTTCCCTAAATTGATGTCTATTCCTAACATATCTTGGATTTTCTGCCCTTGCCCTAAGTAACTTAATTCAAAAAAGAGTTTCAGCTAATTTGCTGACACACTATCAACCACTGATGTCTCATGTTGTTCAACTGAGTCAGTATACTCAAATCGGACAGCTTACAGTGTCAGGTAAAAATCCTTATAAGGAGGATACGGGCTTTGGAGTTGAAACTAGTTAACTCTGGGCTTCTACTTGAGACAAAAAGCAACTTCATTTTATAAGAGAAATTGTCAATCAAGAAGAAACTACTGACACCCGTCTTTGTTCCACCAGTCAATAATAAAAGATAAAGCAGAGGAAATGGAGGAGCTGCAGTTAGGCATTCGCAACACACAAAGTCCTTGTTTTCCCACTAGGCGCTGCAGAAAAGCAATTGTCCATTCACAGCACATCCTCTGCATTTCATAGCTAATATTTTTGCAGTTCTTAATTTGTTACATTACAGTCTTATGCAGTTAATTTTGTTAACCCTTTGAAATGCATTGTTTGATATCTTACTTAATATTGCTGCTAATATGACCCAGTTTTTAAAATTTCTGTTTCTTGACGTTGAGAACAGAAACCTTTAAAAAATTCAAAGAAGAAATTTTGGAAGCAGTAATGGTGTCAAATAATCCTGTCTTACTTGCTATTGCATAACTTCGAGAATGGTAATAAGGAAATCCATGTCAACCATATATTACTTGAATTGCGTTTACAAAAATTGACTCCGGAATGCTTTTAAGCAGGGGTCCCCCTCAACACATATTAATAATGTGGCACCGAAAACAACATAAGCCTTGTGTTTCATTGCCCTGCTTCCTGCAGCAGTTAGCGTGTTTATTGTATATGAATGCATATGCCTACCTTCCGGTGCAGAGATTTACTCTAACATTTTAATAGTCAATCTGGCTAGAGCACATGAATCTATAAATGATTAATTAGTCCCCAGGCTCAATCACTTAAGTCCCTAATTAAATATCTCACTCTGCTTTCAACTATTGTAAGAAAATATAATTAGCAAATTCGCAGTACTAATAAAGAACTTTTTATTTTCCTTTATAAATAATGAGATCTAAATCACTGATCAGTGCCTACATCTTCCCTATTGACTTCTACACGCAGAACATTTTTTAAAAAATGTAAAGTGCATTTTCCTTAAGAATTCATTTTTCTAACATACCGCTATAGATTTTTCTACCTTCATTCTCATTACCAGCTTCTTCCTCTCTTCCTACTAATTTCTTCATACAAGTCTGCTATCAACCAAAATGACAAACTCTAGAAAAACGGTGATTTTCTTTTCCTCTGTTCCGCAACCCTCACCAATCTCTTTACCAATATTTTCCAATCTTGTCCCACCAAAAAGGAAAATGACCCAACTCTAAGATTTACGTTGGAGAAGAAATATTGCATTCATTTAAAAAGAAGAAGAAGAAAAAGAAGAAAGAAAGAAAGCAGCCCTCCTCAATGGGGACTCAAAGTGCTGTGGAAATGCCCGAGTCTCATTAGGCTGGTTGGAATGAAATGGTTAATTCAGAGTAAGTGATAATGTTTAGTCAGTTCTCCCAGAAAAAGGAAGGAAATTCAAAAGCTGGTTGCTGTAGTAACAATCACACACCAAAAAATATATATGTACAGGTTCATTTTAAACAAAACTCCTGCCATCTCTCTGTGATTCTGCTCTCTCAAGAAAAATGAGCTTGCCGGTTAAATTTGTTGTACCTACCTCAACCATTAAACAAGACATTTAACCATAGTGGCAGTTCTGTGACCTTTGAATGCCGTGAAATCTCTGAGCGGTGCTGCTTGTTCATGAAGACTTGTGCTGCAGAATCCAGCAACTTCATCCAGGATTAGGAATATAATTAAGTAAGAAAAAAAAAAAAAGAAAGAAAGAAAGAAAAGAAACGCAAAAGCACACAGAGAGATCGAGAAAGAAGGAAGGTGGAAAAAGAGATTCTCTCTGGGTGAGTACACCACTTTTCTCCCAGACAAGTGCTGGGACAGAGCCCAGCCTGCTGCAGTGCCCAGACCCACCGACTGGCTGGGGGAGCAGGCAGCCGGCCTGCTAGGCTGGGAGGTGCTGTCAGTTGCCACAGGCAAGGAAAAGCAGAGACCAATCGGCTTCAACTCTGGCAGCTTACTGGAGTGGAGCCTTTTCTGTTTATGTTTCCTCATTTCAAGAGTGACGTCAAAGGGTTTAGTTTTTCCTCTGCATGTGCTATTAATTTTAAAGTCCTGTACTATGGGAAGAATGTGTGTGTGCCTGTGGTTAGCGTGGGCACCCCACTCTCAGGAGAACTCAAGAAACATTTTCTATATTCAGGAATAAATTTAAAAAAAATTTAAATACCTTGTGGTGAGAGGTGTATCAAAAACACATACACAAATCAGACAAAAATCCCTGAGCTAAATCATAGCAGCGAAATTTATATTTTTTCCAAATGTGAGTATAGGTACATGTGCCCACTTTACAGCTGTTGCTTATTTTCGATCTAATTCATTTTTACCCTTACCAAAAAATGAGTTGTTACTTAATTTTGATAGCCATGAACGTACAATTGAGCAAATGAGCTGGTGAACAATATTATGTGCAGTGAAAAATAGAAATTATGTTTATGCTGCTGATCCCTGCTTTTCTATCTTTCCCCCAGTTTATGTGGTGAAGCATAGGGATTATTCAGGCTAGGGAGATCCCTCCTGCACACCCCACAGGGAGTCATTCAAGAAGCAGGGCACAGTGATGCCATACAGGCATGCCTGGGGTATCAGCATGTTCTCTCTCAAAGTGTGTGAAGGTACAGTTATTTAAGGATACTTCCTCTACCAGGAGCCCCAGCTTATCCCTGTATTTCTCTTCCCACACTCGAAAGCTCAGTGGTGGCCATCTGTTGTTTCTGCTTCCCCCATAGCCTCTCCCTTCTGCCCCCCTCCCACTCCCCACCTCATTCTGCTAACAGAAACTCTTTTTTTTCTCTTTCGGAAACTTTCTTCTCTCTATCTATGGATTGCACAGCCTTCTCCACAAACCCCACCCCCTATGACAGAATTATAAGGAACATGTGACCCAGACTGGCCAATCAGATTTCTCTATTGTTCTAGACACAGAAAATATTTTAGGGGTAGGCACATCATTCAAGAAAGCCAGAGTCCTTTTTCAAATATTAATACCAATTCTTAGAGAATGAAGGCATTTAAATCTTTCTAAGATGTGCTAGGGTTAATCAAGCCTGTAATTGTAGGGGTTCATTTTTGATGTTGAGGATACAGAGGTGAACAAAATAAGTAGTATCTGCTTTCATGTAGTTTATATTTTGGATAAGGGTGAAGACAGGCAACAAAAATAAGTAAATATATAATGTCACTTGGTAATAAGGGCTTCAAAATAAAAGAAAGTAAAGACGAAGAGAAGCATGTGTGTTGTTCGTGTGCTTGTGTTTACTGTTTTAGGTTTAATGATCAGAGAAGTACTCTGACAGAACAATTTTGGGCAGAAGCCTGAATGAAGTGAAGAAGCAGGTCATGTGTGTCTCTGTATTCTCAACAGAGGAAGTAGTGTAAAGGCTTACGACAGGTGAATGGTTGGCAAATACAAGGCACAAAAAGGGAAATAGAGCAGCTGGAAGAGAATGAGCAAAGGGAAGAAATGAATATAGAGAAATATGTCTGGGATAATACCAGGAATATTTTATAAATGATTTATAAATATTATAAATGAATATTATATAATATATATGAATATTAT